TCGACATCCACGCCTGCAACCACGCCGCGCACACCGTGGGCTGCAGCGCTGCCACCTTCGTCTTCGCCAGGACCATGCCCGAGTGTGCGTCCTGGCAGACTTCCCCTCCCAGACTCTGCTCTGGAGTGTCTTTGAAATGGGGGATTGGCAGAGGGTTGGGGTCCAGGTGGTGCCCCCAGGAGCTGACCTGCTCCGTGTCCCTCTCCAGTGCAAGCCGACAACATTCCCGGCAACGTCACGTGGGAGCCTGCGGGCAAGAACAGCGTCCTGCTGCGCTGGGAAGAGCCCAGGAACCCCAACGGGCTCATCCTCAAGTATGAGATTAAGTACAGCCGTGAGAGTGAGGTGAGGAACCCTCGTGGCACTCCCTGCCCAGCCCTGCCAGGTCTGGGTACAGGGCTGCAGCACCCATGACATACCACCCCGTTCAATGCCATCCCGTCCCATCCCCTTCCATGCCATGCCATGCCATGCCAAGCCATCCCATCCCATCCCATGCAATTCCATCTCATCTAATCCCACCCAATCCCAACCCATTCCATGCCATGCCATGCCATGCCAAGCCATCCCATCCCATCCAATCCCACCCAATCCCATCCCCTTCCATGCCATGCCATGCCATGCCATGCCACCCAATCCCATCCCATCCCATCCCATCCACTCCCACTCAATCCCATCCCATTCCATGCAATCCCATCCCATTCAATCCCACACAATCCCACCTCATTCCATCCCATCCCATCCCATCCCATGCATCTCTCTCCCCCGAGCCTTGCACATGACTGGGAGAGATGAAACTCCTTTGCCACCCCCACGTTGTCCTCCCCAGGAGGTCACCACCGTTGTCTGTGTCTCCCGTCACCGCTACTCCAAGTACGGAGGTGTCCACCTGGCTCTGCTCCAGCCCGGGAACTACTCGGCCAAGGTCCGAGCCACCTCACTGGCCGGCAACGGCTCCTGGACAGGGCTCGTCAAGTTTTACATCCTGGGGCCAGGTACCTGCAGGTCACCAGTGGCTTTGGCCCTGCTCATTTTCATCCTTGTGGTCCTCTTGAGCTTCCCATTCCTTCTTCCAAAGATTAGAACATCTCATTGCTCCCTGAGTTCCAGCCAAAGGTCTCAGCTCAGCCAGACCAATCTTCTTCCCATCCTCCATCCAAGGATGCTGCTGGATTGAGGAGTTGGGGGTTAAGGGAATGATGCTGGAGTGGGACAGCAGGGGCTGCTCATGGAGGATCGGGGATGCTCTGGGGCAGTGACACCCAGAGATCAGTGGGTGCTGCTGGTCAGGATTGCTGGGGCTCCCCCTCTCCAGCCCAGTGGTGGTGGTGGTGGTGGTGGGACAGGTGTCCCTGTGGTGCATGGGGCTGGATGAGTTCCCTGATCCGTGGCTGTCTGCTCCTGACAGCTGAGGAGGAGTCGGGCAGCTTCTATGTCCTGTTCACTGTCACACCTGTGGTGCTCATGGTGCTCATCTCCTGCCTGGCTGTCTTTGTCTTCTTCTACAACAAGAAGAGGTAGTGACCCTCCCTGCACCCCAGGGCTGGGCTGGGGCAGGATTTGGCCAAGCCAGGGCTGGGGAAGGGTTGGGGGGAGGTGAAAAATTCTGAGAGCTGCTCACCCTTCGCAGGAACAACGATGGGTACCCCAGTGGGACACTCTACGCCTCCGTCAACCCTGAGTACTTCAGCGCCTCAGACAGTATGGGCAGGGGCAGCTCCAGGGGGTCCTCTGTCCCCTTTCCTTGCTGGGGTCATGCGGGCAGGGACAGGGATGGGATGGGGATGGGGATGGGATGGAGATGGGGATGGGGAGATGGATGAGGATGGTGATAGGATGGAGATAGAGACGTGGACAATGATGAGGATGGTGATGGGAATGGGATGGAGATGGAGATGAGGATAGGGACAGGGACAAGGATGGTGATTGAATGGAGATAGGGATGGGAATGGGAATGAGATGGAGATGAGAATGGGGATGGGGACAGGGATGGGTGTAGTGATTGGATGGAGATGGGGATTGGAATGGGATGGGATGAAGATGGGGATGGGGGTGGAGATGGGATGGTCCTTCCTCATCTCGCAGTGTACATGCCTGATGAGTGGGAGGTGTCACGGGAGAAGATCACAGTGATCCGGGAGCTGGGACAGGGCTCCTTCGGGATGGTGTATGAGGGGCTGGCACTGGGGCTGGTCACAGAGGGAGAGGAGACCAAGGTGGCCCTGAAGACGGTCAACGAGTTGGCCACCATGCGGGAGCGCATCGAGTTCCTCAACGAGGCCTCTGTCATGAAAGCCTTCAAGTGCCACCACGTGGTAGGTGGGCAGCTGAGGGGGAGGGAGGGCACACGGCAGGGTCTGGCCACTCACATGCCACCCTCTTTGTCCCCCCAGGTCCGTCTGCTCGGCGTCGTGTCCCAGGGCCAACCAGCTTTGGTCATCATGGAGCTGATGACACGAGGGGACCTGAAGAGCTACCTGCGTTCACTCAGGCCTGAAGCTGAGGTGAGGGGCTGGGTGGATGCCACAGTGCCCCAAGGGTGAAGGGACACCCATCCTGTCCCTGGGGAGGTCCTGGTGTGTGTCTGCCCCCCGTCTCTGACTCTACGCGTGGTGCCGAACAGCCCGCGTGCCACAGTGCCCCACGGCTGAAGGGACACCTCTGCTGTCCCTGGGGTGGTCCCGCTGTGTGTGTCCCCAGTCCTGACTCTATGCATGGTGCAGAACAACCCTGGGCTGCCACCACCATCGCTCAAGGACATGATCCAGATGGCAGGGGAGATTGCTGATGGCATGGCCTACCTCAACGCCAACAAGTTCGTGCACCGAGACTTGGCCGCGCGCAACTGCATGGTGTCCGAGGACTTCACCGTCAAGATTGGAGGTGGGTGGGCGGTGCTGGACAGGCTGCTGCCAGCCTGGGCTCCTGCTGCTCATGCCTTCCTCCTCCACCAGACTTTGGCATGACCAGGGACATCTACGAGACGGATTACTATCGGAAAGGGGGTAAGGGGCTGCTCCCCGTGCGCTGGATGTCCCCCGAGGCGCTCAAGGACGGCATCTTCAACACGCAGTCTGATGTAGGTGGGTGGGCGGTGCTGGACAGGCTGCTGCCAGCCTGGGCTCCTGCTGCTCATGCCTTCCTCCTCCACCAGACTTTGGCATGACCAGGGACATCTACGAGACGGATTACTATCGGAAAGGGGGTAAGGGGCTGCTCCCCGTGCGCTGGATGTCCCCCGAGGCGCTCAAGGACGGCATCTTCAACACGCAGTCTGATGTGATGGGAGCCTGGGGGGGTTTGGGGGAGCTGTCCCAGCTGAGCAGAGCTGTGCTGGCAGGTCCTTTGGGG